ACCCAGGTTCCTGCCTCTCAGAGAGGCTGGTCTTGTCACCTAGGGGACTTTGCTGGAGGTAAGGGGACTTTGCTGGAGGTAAGGCGACTTGCTGAGTCACCAGCTCCTGGACTGAGATGTTACAGCTCAGTTCCCAGCAATTATCAACAGTTGAGTCCCCAAGATGCAGGTGGTGATCAGCAGGCCCTAGGTAGCAGCCACTGGCCAGGGAGGCAGACTCCAGGCAGAAGGGGGAACAGGGGCAGAGGGAAACTTGATTCTGTCTGGCTCTAGGAGCCTCCACTAGATGATAGTAGGAATGGATTTGCCCCATCCACTTTACTTTTCAGATGTTCATAAGCTCCCAGATAAGTTCTGCATATTAGCAGCAGTGGTTAGCAGTTTGTATCTGGAGTCAGATGGGCTAGATTTAAATCCTGGCTCTGACATCTACTAGCTTTGTAATTTTCACAGCTAATGATTCTCTCCAAGACTCAGTTTTCTTTTCTTTTTTTCTTTTTTTTTTTTTTTGTAGTGATATATATTTATGTATTTATTTACTTTTTTATTGCATTTTAGGTTTTGGGGTACATGTGAAGAACATGCAAGATAGTTGCATAGGTACACACGTGGCAGTGTGGTTTGCTGCCTTCCTCCCCTTCACCTATATCTGGCATTTCTCCCCATGCTATCTCTCCCCAACTCCCCACCCCCTGCTGTCCCTCCCCTATTCCCCCCAACAGACCCCAGTGTGTGGTGCTCCCCTCCCTGTATCCATGTGTTCTCATTGTTCAACACCCGCCTATGAGTGAGAATATGCAGTATTTCGTTTTCTGTTCTTGTGTCAGTTTGTTGAGAATGATGTTCTCCAGGTTCATCCATGTCCCTACAAAGGACATGAACTCATCATTTTTGATTGCTGCATAATATTCCATGGTGTATATGTGCCACATTTTCCCAGTCCAGTCTATCATCGATGGGCATTTGGGTTGATTTCAGTTTTCTTACATATAGAATGATCTTAAAAGTGTCTATCCCATAAAATTGCTGGGGAAATTAAGCCATATATAATGTGGTGCCTCACACATGGTAAGGCCCCAGTGTAAGGTAGTCATTATTATTATTAGCTTCGATATGTGGGGCATATTAGAAAAATGCTTAAGGGTTTGTTGTTAGGGGATTCCATAGATGTCAACATGCAATAAGGAATGTGATAAGATAATTAAGTAAAAAAACATAGGTTAAGATGGATCTTCATCCAAATCATATTATTACTGATAATAAGGGGATAATAGTTATAAAAATTTAAAAGATGGTTTTATAGAGATTCCTCAAAGGAGCTAAGAACCAAAATATCAACAATGGATTACAGAAACCTATCAGGTTGGCTGGGTGTGGTGGCTCACACTTGTAATCCCAGCACTTTGGGAGGCTGAGGCAGGCATATTACTTGATGTCAGAAGTTCGAGACCAGCCTGGCCAACATGGTGAAACCCCGTCTCTACCAAAAAATACAAAAATTAGCCAGGCATGGTGATGTGTGCCTATAGTCCCAGCTACTCAGGGAGGCTCAGGTGGGAGGATTGCTTGAGCCTGGGGACAGAGGTTGCAGTGAACCAAGATCTTGCCACTGCACTCCAGCCTGGGTGACAGAGTGAGATCCTGTCTCAAACAGAAAACCAAAAATACCTATCAGTTAAAAATCCTATACTCCAGATGGATTAAAGACTTAAACATAAGACCTGGCACCATAAAAACCCTAGAAGAAAATCTAAGCAAAACCATCCAGGACATAGGAGTAGGCAAGGACCTCATGAACAAAACACCAAAAGCATTGGCAACAAAAGCCAAAATAGACAAATGGGACCTAATGAAACTCCACAGCTTCTGCACGGCAAAAGAAACAGTCACTAGAGTGAATCGGCAACCAACAGAATGGGAAAAAATGTTTGCAGTTTACCCATCTGACAAAGGGCTGATATCCAGAATTTACAAAGAACTCAAATAAATTTACAGGAAAAAAACAAACAAGCCCATTCAAAAGTGGGCAAAGGATATGAACAGACACTTTACGAAAGAAGACATATATGAGGCCAAAAATCATATGGAAAAATGCTCATCATCACTGGTCATCAGAGAGATGCAAATCAAAACCACAGTGAGATACCATCTCACGCCAGTTAGAATGGTGATCATTAAAAAATCTGGAGACAACAGATGCTGGAGAGGATGTGGAGAAAAAGGAACACTTTTACACTGTTGGTGGGAGTGTAAATTAGTTCAACCATTGTGGAAGACAGTGTGGCGATTCCTCAAGGCCTTAGAAATAGAAATTCCATTTGACCCAGCAATCCCATTACTGGGTATACATCCAAAGGACTATAAATCGTTCTACTATAAGGACACATGCACACGAATGTTCATTGCAGCACTGTTTACAATAGCAAAGACCTGGAACCAACCCAAATGCCCATCGATGATAGACTGGATTGGGAAAATGTGGCACATATACACCATGGAATATTATGCAGCAATCAGAAATGATGAGTTTGTGTCATTTGTAGGGACATGGATGAATCTGGAGAACATCATTCTCAGCAAACTGACACAAGAACAGATAACGAAATACCGCATGTTCTCACTCATAGGCGGGTGATGAAAAATGAGAACACATGGACACAGGGAGGGGAGTACTAAACACTGGGGTGGCCAGCATTGGGGGGGGAGCTGGGGAGGGATAGCCTGGGGAGAAATGCCAAATGTGGGTGAAGGGGAGAAAGGAAGCAAAACACACTGCCATGTGTGTACCTATGTAACTGTCTTGCATGTTCTGCACATGTACCCCAAAACCTAAAATGCAATAAAAAAATTTTTTTAAAAATCCTATTGAGATTTATAACTGCTAAGTAAAGAAATATAAGGCCTGGTCGACATAACACTCTACTTGGAATCACATCCCATTACCAGAGAAGTCTGAATTACTAATGGTAACACTTTGGATGACAGGAGCAAAATATGAGGCTTTTTTTCTCTTCCTGTACTAAGTCCCCCACCACTGGACAGACTCCATTGACCTGGGCCAGGCAGCCACACAAGTGTTTGGGAGGCCCACAGAACACAGAACACCGGGATGGAAGCCAGAACTTGACTAAGCCTCAACCCCAAACTAGACTGACCCCACTCAACCCCAAACTAGACTGACCCCACTGATGTGTGGGATCACAAAACCAACCCTAGCAAGCCCCCTTTGTCTCTGACTTGGAGGGAGGGTTGTGATGTGAGATGTAATTTGAAAAAGTGAGAATTTACTCCCTTTAAAGCCCTAACGCTTAAAAATAAACTTAAATCATTCTGGAAATGTCTTGCCTATTCTGTTGCCATCTTAAATATACCCTAAGAAACCTATTCAGCTCCTTTTTGATGTGGGTACATCATCACCCAGAACGTGTATGCCATAAATACAGCAGGTGAGATAGTAAGCCTATTTTCTCTGAAACTAAATGGCTCCCAAATAGCATTTGTTCAGACATTCTTTTCCTTCATTCTTGCTTACCATTTTACTGCTTCCTCCTTTGCAGATATGCACCGGTTAATATTTTCTGCTTCTTTTAAGCAATCTGGCCAATATCCCCAGCTTTTACCCCATCGTGTGACCAGATTCCAATAAAATCATGACATCCTATTTATGCCTTTTCATTGTAGACGTATTTTCAAGACCACAACAGACCCTGCATCCTGATGCAGAAGGGAGGTTTGATCCCAATCCCACCCCCATAATCACAGCAGTGCGATAAGTGTTTCAGCTGTTCAATATTTGCCTTTTTGTTTGGCAAGGTTTGATGCAAAACGGTATTTGGGGTTCTTAAATGTCATTTTTGCCTGAGTTGAAATTACATTCTTTATTCTTTCCCTGCATTCGTTTACTATTGTTGCTGTAAGAAAAACTCACACTAAACTTACAGGCTCAAAACAACACAAATTTCTTCTCTTACAGTTCTAGAAGTCAGAAGTCCAAAACAGGTCTCACTGAGCTAAAATAAAGGCATGGGCAGGGCTGTGTTTCTTTCTGGAGGCTCTAGGGAAGAATCCATCTGCTTATCTTTTGCAGCTCCTGGAGGTGCCCATGTTTCTTGGCCTGTGGCCCCTTTCCAGCTTCAAAGCCAGCAATGACCAGTCAAGTCTTCCTCCCATCACATCGCTCCGACATTCACTCTTCTGCCTCCTTCTTCCTCATTTAATACCCTGGTGAATGCACTGGGCTCACCTCGAAGACTCAGGCTATGTTCCCCCTTTTAAGATAAGCTGACTAACAACCTAGTTTCACCCACAGCCTTCATTCTCATTTGTCATATGAGCTAACATAGTCACAGGTTCTTGGGATTAGGACTTAAACATATTTGGGGGACTATTATGCAGACTGCCAAAGTCCCCTTTTTGTGATAAGCATCTTAAGGTGCATTTTTTATTTAAAGGAAAAAACTAGAAAATACTATGAAGGAGGCAAGACATGATGGGTCATGCCTGTAATCCCAGGACTCTGGGAGGCCAAGGCAGGAGGATCACTTGAGCCCAGGAGTTCAAGAACCATCCTGGGCAACACAGTGAGCCCCTGCCTCTACAGATTTTTTTTTAAGGAAAAGAAAATAAGGCTGGGCACGGTGGCTCATGACTGTAATCCCAGGGCTTCAGGAGACCAAGGCGGGCAGATTGCCTGAAGTCAGGAGTTCAAGATGAGTCTGGCCAACATGGTGAAACCCTGTCTCTCTTAAAAATACAAAAAGATTAGCGGGGCATTTAATATAATTTTTTAAAACTCCTAGTTATCCCATTTAAACCAAGATTATAAGCCATAATATAACTGAAACACAACTTGAGAGAGTTTGCAATTATATAACCGGGCTCATGCCTGTAATCCCAGCTCCTCAGGAGGCTATGGCAGGGGAATTGCTTGAACCAGGGATGTGGAGTTTGCAGTGAGCCTAGATCACACCATGCACTCCAGCCTGGTGACAGAGCAAGACTCTGTCTCAAAAAAAAAAAAAAAAAAAAGAAGAAGAAGAAAAAGAAAAGAAAATACAGTGAAGCAAAGTGGAAGGGAACAGTAATGCAACCTGCATTAGAACCCCGTTGCACTCATCCTTTCAGGTGTCTGTGAACTAGTTTTGATTTCCAGGAGGTGTATTTTCCAGCCATCTTTCAGAAGGAACTTTAAAACAATGAGATGCCTGTAAACCATTATATAGTAATTTGTTATTTTTATCTGAATGGTGCAGGTTAGGAAACCAGATCATTTATTTTGGACTTGTATCAAAAATTTGCATAACAAATATTTACTCGATGCTCACCAAGTGTCAGGAACTGTCCTAAGAGCTTTTATGTATCCTTTCCAGTCCTCTTAGAACCCTCCGAGTATAGGTTTGTAAACTCCTTTTACAGATAAGAAAGCCGAGGCTTGGATGGGTGCTGCTGCTGCTGCTGATTAGCATGGTTTTCCTTTAAAAAGTCAACAATCAAGGCAAAATAATATAATTTTTAAAAACTCCTAGTTATCCCATTTAAACCAAGATTATAAGCCATAATATAACTGAAACACAACTTGAGAGAGTTTGCAATTATATAACCGGGTAAAGTTTGGGGAGCTGTCCCATTGGCTTACACAACAGCCCCATCCTCACACTCACCTGGCACTTCCCTCCCACCCACTTGGTTTTGTTCCCCTCTCCCAGGCGCCATGTTCTGCTGTTCCTTAAGGGAGGCAGAGGGTGTTTCTTGATTGGCCTGAGCCTATTACAGCTGTTTCATTCCTGGATTTCTGAGTGATTATTTGGATAAAGACATGGATGTGGGTGGGGCAAATGAGATAGAGAGAAGTCTGGAAGAGGATTTTGGGGAAGAGTTTCCTCACTTTCAAAAGGGAACAAATGGTAGGCACAGTTTCTTTTTCTATGTGGGGATGCCATTCTATGAGTATGTGATGCTGCAGCCATCCGATAACCAAGAGCCAATCACTGAACATAGCAGAGCAGAAAGATCGAGAGAACCAGCATCCTTATAGTATCACTGACACATATGTGCTTTTCTAGAATAAATTTTGGTAGGGAAAAATGGCATTGGCATCTGTTATTTCATAGAACATGTATTAAATTTCTTCAGAATACAGTTTAGGAAACTCTGGCCTAAGTCATAGAAATAACCTATTCCAAATGACAGCTGTATTGTTATTAACTAAAGTCCACACTCTATACAGATTCCCTTAGTTTTTTCCTCATGTCCTTTTCTGTTCTTGGATCCCATTCAGGAAGCCCCAGTATATTCGTCATCATATCTCCTTAGGTTACTCTTGGCTCTGACAGTTTCTCAGACTCTCCTTCCTTTCGATGGTGCTGAGAGCTTTGAGGAGTGCCAGTCATATATTTTGTAGGATGTACCTCTATTGGATTTGTCTGCTGTTTTTCTCATGAACAGACAGGGTGATGGGTTTTGGGGAGGAAAAAAATCACAGAAGTAAAGTGCCATTCTCATCACGTCATTATCATGGTACCTACTATCAACATGGCAGCACTGGTGATGCTGATCTTGCCTCCTATGCAGATTTAACCATTCCTGATTCCTGCTAAGTGAGGTCCTTTGCCTTTCGTATCAAGGTGGGGATCTTGTTCCGGTTCCAACAGTCAGTCTCCCCAGTTAGCTTGGACACAGGCAGCCTAAATGCAGGGATGATTCAAAAGAAAGACATGTCACCATCACAGGCCTTCGACATGGGAGGGGGGTATGGAGCGGAGGCGAGTAAGGATGACCTGCCCACTTTGGCCACTTGCCAAACTCACAATGGATGCTTGCCAAGGGCCAAAATTGGCTGCCAAGAGGGCATGAATACCCATTCCTTTTCCTGTTAACTAGCGATAACCTTTCATAGTGCCACTTGCATTTTCTAACTCCATCTCATCTACAAGTGCCTTCTTGCAGATGGTTAATTACTCCTCAGCACTCAACAGCAGCAAGAATCCAGAAAAGCTGCACCAGAGAACAAGAGAAAGGAAAAAAGAAAATGAGAATTCGATCTGAAAAATTCACCAGAAAATGTCCAACCTTCCCCCTGTGACACGACAAGGTTTTCGTTGGATTTTTCCTTGCATTATTCAAACATACAGTGAACAAGTATTCAAATTCTTCTTCCTTAGATGGAAGTAGAGCTCGGAGTGTGTTTTTTCTTTATTCTGACACATCATCTAAAGTTACTGAACTAGACCACATGCAACAATAACAAAAGTCCGTTATATAATCATTGTTTCAGTTCATGTTCATTAAGCATTTTATAATGTATCAGGAGCTGTGCTAATTATTTTATGCACATCATTCATTTGATTCTCAGCAAAACTATGAGGTTGTTACCTCCGTTTTACAGAATATAAAGTGAGGCAGAGAAAGGCTAAGTAACCTGCCCAAGATCACAAGGCTCATAAGTGGCAAAAAAGAGATATAAACAAGTCTGACTTCCCACTTCATACTGCAGGGCCATTCAAAAATCCACCATGCCATACTGCTACACCATTCAATAAACCTGTATATTAGACTGATGCACCATTCAACAAACTACTACTCCATTCTGCTGCACCTTTCAACAAACTATGCCATACAGCTGAGCCATTCAAAAAACCTCTACATCATACTGCTGTGCCACTCAGCAAACCTCTGCATCATACTGCTACATCATTCAACAAACCACGAAACCATACTGCTATGCCGATCACTCTATTCCACACTGCCGTATCATTCCGCAAACCACTACTCTACACTGCTACCCCATTCAAAAAACAACTGCACAAACCTCTATATCACACTGCAGTGGCTACAATGCCCCCAGCAACTTGCAAGGTGAATGAAACAGGGTCCCGTCAAAAAGGAGCTCACTGTTGGTTCAGTTATCCCCAGAAAGGCAGGGGATTGAGAAGTTCCCATACACTATGAGCAGACACAGGGGTGTGGGAGAGTTGGCTTTCTGGAGGAGTCCTCAAGTCAGGGTAAAGAACTTCAGCATGTGTTGACTTTGAGACCAAAGGAAATGTCATGGAACATGACCATAATCCAAAATAACCAATAATATTTAAAATGTCTAGTAATTAGTTTGGCTCCAGCCAATTAGAAAAGACATTCATACATCAGGATGAAGGACTGGACAATCTTTCAGTGACAGCTATGGATACCAGGAGGGGCTGAACATTAGTCCTGAGGCGGGCCCCAGAGATGGAGCAGTAAGAGCCCAAGGGGCCTGCATCACCACAGGGTCACTTGGGTGCCTTCCCCATCCCATCATGAGGAGGATGGTTGGGTGGGTTTTCAGCATCATGGAGTGCTATTGTGTATGGGGAATGCTAGATGTTACTAATGTTTTCAATAATATCAAATTAGCTTGTAAACCTGTAAACCATAGACTCATTTACTCTCCAAAGAGCCCTTGTCGGCCTGACGCGGTGGCTCACGCCTATAATCCCAGGACTTTGGGAGGCCAAGGCGGGTGGATCACTTGAGGTCAGGCATTCAAAACCAGCCTGGTCAACATGGTAAACCCTGTCTCTACTAAAAATACAAAAATTAGCTGGGCATGGTAGTGGGTACCTATAATCCCAGCTACTCAAGAGGCTGAGGTATGAGAATCACTTGAACCCAGGAGGTGGAGGTTGGAGTGAGCTGAGATCATACTGCTGCACTCTAGCCTAGGTGACAGAGCAAGACTCTGTCTCAGAAAAACAACAAAAACCCAACAAATAAAACAAACAAACAAAAAAAAAAACAAAGAGCTCCTGTTCCTTTTAGAAGAAAATAGAGACTGAAATCTAATTGCTGTGAGGATCCATATGAGGTTCTGCCCTATGAGTCCAGGTAGAGGCAACATCACTACTGCACCACTTTGACAGAGAAATGTGTGTTTTTAAGAGATTTCATTGGTCAGTGTCCAGTAAGGAAAACAGAAACTACACTAGGAATTTCCAACAGAAGAGATATAATATAGGTAATTGATTACAATGGTGTTAGGTATCTGGGGAAAAAAGCAAAAAGAGAATGCTGAGGCAAATCAGATACTAATAACCGAAGGAAGAAGCTACCACCTCTAGGACTGGGGAGTGAAAGGGAAGAGGTGGTGTTACTGGAAACCAGGACTTCAGAGGACAGGCTTTGCAGGGCTGATGCTCGGACACCTCCCCACACATCTGGTGCTCAGTCTTCCAATGAAGGCTGAAGCTCAGTGTGAGCCTGGGCTCCTGAGGAGGGAGTGTGTACAGATCATTTTGTTTATCCATTCATCTGTCAGCAGACACCTGGGTTGCCTCCACTTTTTGGCTATTGTGACTAATGCTGCTATGAACATGTGTATCCATTTCTCTTCTCTTTTCTAATCCTTATATAGTTTTTTTGACCCCCATTCTACAGGAATAGTTCTGCACATAGGAGACCTAGCACCTTCTTTCATCCTAAAATGAAGTTCTTAAGTAAAACAGCCTACAGACCATGTAATTTCAAGAAAATCATTATAATGAAATTTGTTTCATTGTCAGTGCCCAGGAATGATAACGCAGGGCAATTTAACACAAGAGCCAGGCCAGGCACTGTGTCACATGCCTGTAATCCCATCACTTTGGGAGGTTGAGGCAGGTGGATCACCTGAGGTCAGGAGTTTGAGACCAGCCTGGCCAACATGGCAAAAATCCCATCCCTACAAAAAAATTAGCCAGGGCTGGGGGTGGGTGACTGTAATCGCAGCTACTTGGGAGGCTGAGGCAGGAGAATTACTTGAACCAGGGAAGCAGAGGTTGAAGTGAGCCAAGATCGTGCCACTGCACTCCAGCTTGGGTGACAAAGCAAGACTCTGTCTCAAAAAACAAATAAGCAAATAAAAAAGAGCCAGATGCTGCACATTGCACATGGTGGCCACAGTCACAAATGCAGATTGTCCCAGCAGCACTGCATAGGTGACTCATACACCACAAGTAGTGGTGCTTACCAGCATGATTTCCTAAAATAGGTAACCAACACTTAATAAAGTTTCAAACAAAGCACTCTTTTTTCAATACGCACAGAAATGACAATCTTAGAAATTCAGTGCATATTCATATTAAGCAAGAAATGTTTGATGTTTCTGTATAAAACAGAATCCAGCTGGGCACACTGGCTCATGCCTGTAATCCCAGTCCTTTGGGAGGATGAGGCAGGCAGATCATGAGGTCAAGAGATCAGGACTATTCTGGCCAACATGGTGAATCTCCATCTCAACTAAAAATACTAAAAAAATTAGCTGGGTATGATGGTGAGTGCCTGTCATCCCAACACTTGGGAGGCTGAGGCAGGAGAATCGTTTGAACCTGGGAGGCAGAGGTTGCAGTGAGCCGAGATTGCACCACTGCAATCCAAGCCTGGTGGCAAAGCAAGACTCCATCTCAAAAACAACAACAACAAACACTATCAGATAATTGGCTCAGATAATTTTCAACAGATTATTTCCCTTGTGGATTCCATACAGGACATTGAAAACTCGCGAAGGATACAGAAAGATTTGTTGTTCAGGATATTCCAGTGTATTGCAGGACATCTAGCATCACTGGCCTTCAAACATTATGACAGCTAAGAGACACCCTCAGATACTACCAAAATGTCCTTTAGGAGGCAGTACTGCTCATATTAAGAATCTTCTAGAGTAAGTAGTTTCTTTCTCTATCAGTTGTCTTCCCATAATAATGCAGTGTAACTGCGGCAGCCATGAGAAAGACCTTGCAGACTAATTAGTCTAATTAACCAATTAGTGTGGTCTGAAATCCACTGCTATGTTTGTGTCAAGGCCATGCCTCCCACAGGCTGCTCCCAGTGAATGGCTGAACGCAATGGGGATGCTGCTATTCCTAGGAGGCTCAAGACTCCTCTGATAGGTGGCTTTCACTTGAGGCTCCTCAATAGCTTTGCTACACCTTCCTGTGACTACAGGACAGTCTAGAACATTTCCATTTACCTTCCTTCCCTCCTTTCTTCACCTGAGATCAGACTTGCATTGCCTTCTGACAGCTCTTCTAACACACAGCTCCCTCTCTATTTTAATCCACCTAAGAATGTCCCCTAATAAAATCCCTTGTACATTTTATTCTATCTTGGCATTTGCTTCTTTTTGTTTGTTTTTGTTTTTTTAAACAGGGTGTCACTCTATTTCCCAGGCTGGAGTGTAGTGGCACAAATATGGCTCACTGCAGCCTCAACCTTCTGGGCTCAAGCAATCCTCCTTCCTCAGCCTCCCAAGTAGGTGGGACTACAGGCATGCATCACCACGCCCAGCTAATTTCTTTTTTTTTTTTTTTTTTTTAGAGACAAGGTCTCTCTATGTTGCCCAGGCTGGTCTTGAACTCCTGAGCTCAAGTGATCCTCCAACCTCAGCCTAACAAAGCACTGAAATTATAGGCAGGCATGAACCACTGCACTTGGCTAGCATCTGCTTCTTGGAGAACTTGGACCAATACAGTTTAAAAAAAACCATGAAACCTCTGTGGCATACACAATAAGTGTTTCTTGCTCCTGTTTCAGGAGGTGGTGGGGTGGGGATGGGAACTAGACAGCTCTGCTGATCTTGGCTGGGCTTGCTCGCATATTCAAGGCCTGACTGGTTGGTCATTGGTCCAGAATGACCTCTACTAGGATGGCTGGAGGACTCAGTCAAGTTCCAGGT